ACAAAATGAACATATTTGACCTTGATTTAATTGTAATACACGTTTAAAAAATGATGCCGAAGTAACAACATACTGATACCGGTTAGTAAAAACCATGAATCAATGCTTTGACAAGTCTGCAGACAGACGGCAGGCGAAAAACCTTTTAAAATGCGTGATCTTCTTATTATAGACACATGCATTTCCAAACATTTGGTCTACCTACGCTGTAAAATGTATTATCTCTTCGATTTACACACGGCATCTATTGCACGTCTGTCCGTCCTGGGAGAGGGACCCCTCCTCTGTTGCTCTCCCTGAGGTTTCTCCCATTTCCCCTTTAAACTGTGGGTTTTTCTCCGGAGGTTTTTCATTGTACGATGTGAGGGTTTAAGGACAGAGGGTGTTGTTTTCTCATACTGATATTCTGCAAAATCTGTGCTGTTGTATTTGCTGTAAAGTGTCTCTACTGTAGGGTATTTTTATTATACAGCACTTTGGCTCGACCAAAAATAGTTTGAAAATGTGCTATATAAATAAAACTTGATTAGATTTGTTGTCTAAATGGAGATCGGCTAAGCTAACGCAATAGGCTATAGGCTATATGCTCCGACCGTCCACACTCACAACGGCCTATACAGACATAAACCAGCGACTGTATTCGCCATGACACAGACAGTCAGTGGTTTGTACTTGTTTAACTTTTGTCTAGTTTCTGAATAGATATGAGGAGCTTGAGTGCAAACAGCTAACGGCTGATGTTGTTTTTTCTGGGGTGCTCACGGGTGCTCATTGAAGATGATGTCACGGCTCCGCCTACACTGCGTTACTATAGTTACTGCCCCAGCTCCTAAACTGTAATGGAAGCGCAGCATTAAAGTGAGCCGGGCCTAATGAGGCCTAACCAAACCGAGCGAGGCCTGCGGTGGAAATGCGCCACAAGTGTCCTCAAGACCTTCAATGCTCTCCCAGGTACCCATTTCAGAATTAGAATAATTTTCAAATAAAAAAAGTTAATCACATTTATGTGGAAGGGGGTGCATACTGATAAGATCTTAAACTCTTGCCATGTAGAAATTGACATTGACTGAAGAAAATGCTGAAAGCCTTGGCATACCTTCCTAATTACTGGTGTGTGGTTTATCCATCTAAATACAAATCTACATTTTTGTTGATCAACCACCATACAACATTGTCTGAGAGGAGATATTCTGGGAGGTGCATGCATAACATATGTGCCACCCTTCTGTGTGAGCTTAGTTGCTAATGGCAATATTAACTACCGGTAGATGCTGTGGTTTTCTTTATCTGCTTCTTGACAACACTGGTTTTAATTACTTTTTTGTAAGGGTGAAATTGTTGGTTGCACCCTTAACAGGCTGATGGTGAATGGTACTGTCATCTGCAGGATTTATTCATAAACAACAGCACAATATCCAGGATCTGATGCCCTCATACCAGGGGGTTAAGCCAGTTCTTTGTAAGCTAACCTACCGTAACAGAAGAAAATATATATATTTTTCTCTTTTTCCCTTGAGTAAACATATCATTTCACAGCTATTCCAGCTGCAACCCTGCACGTCTGCCTGTAATTCCCCCTTCCTGTCTCCTTAACTTGATCTACTGTACCATGCCACGGTGCCTTGACAAGGTGTTCTGGATCTGACCAGGAGATCGGACCCTGGTGGATCAATGAGGGCCTGATATTAGATCCTCTATGGTGGGTTGATATAGAAACAGGAGTGGAAGAAAGATTGTCAACCCTAACTGGTCCGACCTGAAGTGTTCTGGGCAGTGGAGATTAACCAGAAGCCTTGAGCCTCTTTGCAGAACTTGAAAACAGAAACACTATACAGCGCTGTGATCTCCAGACCTCTCTTTCTCCTTTCTCCATCTATCAAACCTTTGCACTTTTGCACGCTGTCACCCTCCTTCTGTGCCAGACATCGGTTGCTGTATTGTGTCTGAGTTGATGTTTGTAAGGTAGCTTTTTAACCCGGCTTTATTGATACCTACAGTATATGTTGAGAGCCAATTGCTGAGTTTTAATACTAAGGGTTTCGGATCCTTTACCTTAACAGTGATCCTTAGCAGGGGTTAGAGCCCCTGTCCAAAGATGATGAAGATGGATGCTATGTTTGTTTTCAAGTCCATCCTTGTTGGAATTCTTTCATATCAATTCTTACCAGTGTCGGTTTTTTTCTTTTAAAAGTTGTTGCTGTGTGTATTTTAAGCCTGCAGGGTATTCCTGGAAGCAAACACAACTTAGTCTGAGGCCTCTGTGGAGACAGCACTCACACTGCTCCTTTTGTAGCATTTTTTTCTTAAGCTTCAGTGAAGGTGCACATTCATTCATCTTTTCTCAGCTCCTTCTTCAGGGAGCTTTCCTCCCTGATTTGTAAGCATTTGGATCCTGTCTCCACTGCCTTATTTTACATAGAAGCAGCATGCAATACATTTTTCATCTGAGAAGCTTCATAAGCCCAGTATTTGATTCGGGTATGTGTCCAGGAATCAAACTCTGGTTTGTGCTAAAGCCTCTTTGGCTGTACAACACTGTCTCTCACGTTTTTTTTGTGTTGGGCCAGGCCACTTGGCATTGCTGCCTCACCAAAGGGACAGAGAACGTTTGCAAAAAATTGGGGTAATGACTTTTAAATGCATTACTGCGTCATGGACAGGCACTTGGAAAGTGTCCTGAACTGTAAATAAAAGCATTTCAATCTTGCATTTGCTCACCAAGCAGGGAAGAAATTCCACAGTAACTAAGTAAGTCGAGGTGGTGGAGCAACAACTACCTAAGCAGATGTCACTAGGACTGCGGTATGCTGGAGGGCTAAAGACACTGGCAACCTCACGTTTATTTCATCTGTTTTCTTACAAAGTTGATCAGGACAGATGAAGTAACCGGAGCTGCCTGCCTGGCTTTTTACAGCCTTCTTTTGCAGACGGAGGAGTCAGAGCAAAGGGTGGAGTTGTTGGGACTTTATGAACATTACAGAGTAATTGTTCAAATATGACGCGGTTATGTGAAATTAAACAGATGAGGATGAAAATGTCCAGGAAATGCCCGAGAGTGTCCATCTTAAATGTGATGCCATAAAACATGGAACACACTGACAGCAGTTTAACCCAGTACCTCTTAAACAGTGGAGTCTACTCAGGCTTATAAGTGCTGCATTCCCCTCTTTTTTCTGTATATCTGTCCCTTGCTTTATCTCTACTCATGTATATGTACCTGCACCTCTTATGAAGCCAATGTATTGCCTGCTATTTCCAACAACGTTTGTCTAACTTCCCTTCCAGTTGCAGCTTTCAGCGCTCTACAGCCGACTAACCATCTGCCTCCCTCAGGCCTTCAGCAGATTACGTCCACAACGCGCCTAATGCACCATGTTTTATAGCCGAGTAATGTGGGCTTTACACAGGGATTTGAACCTCTCAGCTGACCTTGAAACATGGCTGCTCTGTTGGCTGAGACACAGTCCTAACAGGTCATGATTTATCACGTGAGAGTGTGTGGATAAGTCAAGCTGAAAGGGCTGTTCTTGTTAAAGGCCAAACAGTTGAGCTGGAGTTTTCACGAACCATGAGGGGCGTACGTGTGCAAAGACATTTGACACACACTTGCTCCTGCATTTTTCTCACCAGAAAACTCCCTTTTGAATGCTAACACAAGCTATTGTGTCGTGATTGAGATCATAGTGGTGGATATCAATGACAACAAGAAAGATTCAAGTTACCGTATCTGCACCTTTTTGCTCAAAGAAGAAAGAAAAACGTTTCCAGTGGGAATGCCATTAGAAATAACAGATGCTGTGATTGTGTCATTTTAAAGTTTACACAGAGCTTCTACTGTAGTGTAGTCAAAACACGTTTGTGTAGCGACGATGTCAGTTCTTAAACAGATGTTTTAATTGCACACAGCATCTGTAGCTGCTCGCAAAGTGACGGCAAACAAACTGCTTCTCATGTCTCTTTCTGTTCTACAAATCGATTCTCTGTCACACAGCTCCTTCTGTGTGCGTATGCTCCCACATGTGTGAATTTGGCCCTTACAAAGGAGTTGGCCCAGGGGCTTCTTCTTCACTCTCTCCCCAGCCAAAGGGCCTTCTGTTCCACCATTGTGCTGGAATGCTGTGTGAGCCATCTAGCTGCAGGCTCCAGGACCGGGGCCCAGCTATCAGTCAGACCCGTGGCCTAGCTCCCCTTCACCTTGCTGGGCTGAGGAGAGACTCATGATTGGCTGTTGGGAGGATAGTCAATGTTCTCTGATGGGACCTGACAGCAGCCTGTAGCCTGTCAACACATTCCTGCACAGCTGCTCTCTAATGACAAATTCAATTGCTGTAGTGTTTTTTCTGTGCACGTAGGCTGGAGCACAAGCATCTTCCCGCGTGTAGAAATAATTCCATCTCCGCTCCACGTTTCAGTTTTTAAAAATGTTTTTGTGTGTGTAAATGAGTAAACGTTAACATAAGGGTCGGGCCTACTTTTCCATTTTAGTGATTCTCCAGAGACACATCTTTGTCTCTCAACATTGTGCAGTTGCAGCGCTCAGGCTGATAAGGAAATGTTTAGCCAATTTAACCAGACTGTTGAAATGATTTGGAATCCTCAGGCCGCTGGGGCATATCAAATGCACGGTGGAAAACTGGATTGTTTGTACAGTGGCTAGGCGAGTTGACATACTTAGAAGCACTCTGGTGTGTGTGTGTGTGTGTGTGTGTGTGTGTGTGTGTGTGTGTGTGTGATTGGTTGCAGTTTAGATCTACTGTGAGTGTGAGCGAGTAGAACATGGTGCGGATGGAGGCTGTACATGTTTTCATATATGTGTGCTTGTAGCAGTGCACATGGGTGTGTGTGCAGTCTCTGCTTACACGTGTGTGTGTGTTTGCTCGGAGAGGCCTCGCCGTGGCCTCTGCAGCCCAACATTGACCTCCCCTCTCTCTCCCTTTCCCCCCCCTCTTTTTCTCCCTTTTTTTGTCGCCCTTACTGATAAATGCAATCTGTCCTTTCAGATCCACGAGCAGCTGCAGCTCTACGAAGAGAGCAAACCCGTCCCAGTTCTGGACAGCGCTGCTGCTCTGGCCCATGAAGTAAGTTCTTTTTTTCCTTTGGAAGGAAGGCTTCAATTTATCGCATATTCAGATGGTTGACACATGAAAGGGAAAAGCATCATAAAGTGTCTGAGTGGTGTTGGGCCTCTAAAAGTGATGATCATCATTCTTCTAAAAACATCTGAATAGGTTCAATTGGGTTTAGTTTTGGTGCATTTAAAAGCAACACAATAGAATTAAGTTTCTGTACTGGGAAGTTTTCCTTTTTAATTTGTCAACTGCCTAAACACACACTTTGTGTTCTCTGCCTTCCACGATCTGCCTAACTGTTTTGTGTTTGAAAAACAAAGTAAGCGTGATTTGCTTATACTCAAACCCACAGAGACTCTGTGAAGGCAGCGAGGTAGTCTGTCTTGTTCTGCTGTTGCACAGTTAGATGTTGTGCAGGTTGAGCTGAAAAAAACTTCACATCACAAGTGTGTCTTTATCTGTAACACACATACTCTCAACACCATCCCCAGTAGCGTGCAGTAGCCCTGGCACTGTTTGTCCTCTTTCACCTCTTACCCTGGAGTGAACTACGACCTGTAACCCCTCAGTGCATACTCACTTACTGTTACAATAAAACTACAGCACCCCTCCTCTGCGCCCACCACCTACTCGCCCGCCCACTCGTCGCCCAAACATTTAGCCATACACCACAAAAGCGAAAATCCAGTTCTTCAAGGACAGGACCTAGAATTTTCCCATGGCAAAAATCAGATGCAAAGGCTTCCATTTCAGTAATACACTGAAGATGGATGGGCGCGAATGACAAACTAGATATGATTGTGAAGTTACATCATATAAACATAAATCACAGCATGAGATATTCCAATTTAGAGAGACAGGAAGCAATGCTCATGGCGTGCATTCCCTCTTCATTAATTAACCTCTTAATGAGAAGTCATCACACAGACAAAAATAGTACCAACAACACCACTGATGATGATTTTCTTCCATTGGCCCGGCCGCTCTTGCAACCTGTGAAAGATATTACGTCTGATTTATTGAGCCAGTGTCCTGACATTTGTTTCAGTATTGTTCAACTCCGATATTTATTGAAAGCCAAGTGTACACATTCAAGTGCCCCGCTCACATCCACATGCGTGCACACACACCTGTGTAAACCCAGGATCCAGCCTGGCACGGTCAGAGAAGGGGAGGAAAAGCCCTTTCACTGGTGTGTGGTTTTGTTTGAAATCCCCAGCTCTGTTTATTGTAATCAAAGTGCCTCCGACTATTCCACCCCTTCTAAAGATCCCGCAGCCATACATCATCCTAATTAGTTCAGAGTCAAGGGAAAGACGACCGCAACAGGGGCCGAAGTTTGTACAGTCAGTTGAGGTAAAGAACGAGGAGGAGGGAGACCGTCACAGAGAAAAGACGTGTTGTGGACTCCAGTGGTTTTTCTGACCTTACAAGTGAAAGTGCCAGCAATGTTCCATCCTGGTAGGTTCGCACACGCCAATGCAAATGATAGGAGTCCCAACCAGGACCCTTAACCAAACCAGGATGGCCACGCTTAAATCAATCCGTCTGCACGATATTCCCAAATAGACATTTTATTGCTCCATTCCTGGTTGTGTTTCTTTCCTACCCTGCGTTTAGTCTCGGCAAGGAACACCACTAACCAAATAACACCAAAACAAGAATCCTACCAGTAGCCAACAGAGTGGAAAGGATTGCTTCTATTTCCTAAGACTTCACTCTGCTTCTTTATTCCGTGTTGAGAGGCCATACATTTCTCAAGAGACCCCCAACTATCAGCCTCCATCTTCCCCCTCCTCCTTGCAGATTTCCTTTCCCATTCTTTTTTGTCAAATTACAGACTTTCAAATGTATGCTTCCTGGTGAATGCCCCGCAAAGCGTCTCCTTGGGATTATCGGGTATCAGAATAAATCCCAGAGATGGTGTATCAAAGAGTCTCGCAGCACACCACAATCTTGAGACCCCCTCTCTTGGCTAGTCAAAAAAGCAATGTATTTTTAAAGCGGATTGTTTTTCAGCCGTGTCACCGCTCCAAATGAACACTATTGAAGTGGTGGCTAAGGACTAGAGTGCAGCAGGAGAGATCTACAGTTAGATGAAATTCATTTTGGGCTTAGGTTTCGGGTAATGGAGGCTTAATTTATTACCTAACATAAAATGACACTTCAACCCCTGCCTGCCCCCGGCTGCACTGTCTAGCGCACACAGCAGGTGACTGCCACTGCTCAAACAACCGCCATCACCGGCTGAAACACGATCGATAACGGGCCCAGGGAATAAGTGCTGTATTACAAACACATGAAGACATGTCGGGACGTGACTGCGCACACACTTTTATGGATGCACGTGCGTTTATTACCGCACAGTTTCTCCCCAGCCCTTATTAAGGATGAAATAGAAGCACTATTGCCTCATTGCGGAATGTAAGAATACCACTAACATTAATCAAAAGAGGGCAAATCAGTCTCACACGTGAACCAGCTCGATGTATGTCGATCCAATCAGTCTCTATCAATCGTGTTGAAAAGCAACATACGCTCTTGAATAGTAAGATGAATGCCAGCCCCTTGTTCCAGATCAGTATGTCCATCGCTTGAACCGAGACTGTGGTGGCTGACTCGTATCCTTCCTACCTCAAAGCCTCCTTTTTCTCCTCTGGCCGGCTTCCCAACATCTTTATTCTCACCCAAATACGTGCTGTTACTTAGGAAGACCACTGGGTGCCATCAGAGGGCACTGTTCTATACATACTATAATATGTAGGAAAGAGACGGAGACTGGCAAACCGAGAGGGGGGCTTTAATATAAATATGTCAGATTTGACTGTTAAGCAAATGATGGCGCCACAAGCCTTTGGTTGGTATCTTAAAATGTAAATAATATTTATACCTTCGGACCATTTAACCTTTATGTTAAATAACGAGTTTAATTAGTAGATAGTCAGGACTTTTCATGATCATTTAACCCAAATTGTGTATTCTTATTGATTATGACTCATGTTATAACTGAAAATATTACTCTTGCAGTTATAAAAGGCATACTGATTTATTTTACAAGTTCATTATCGCTCTGTGAATACAATCCTTGTAAATAAATACTAGTTTACACACGAAATAGTAGTTTACACAAAATCTTCTTTTCTCTTAAAGTGTTAACAGTGTTCTTGCTTGAGAAAGCTGGAGCTGTAAATAAGCACCTGTTAGGTATTATAATAAATAGAGCATCTTAAATAGTTCTGCTGATATACTGCTTGTATTTTAAGATCGACCCTATTGAAAATACATTTGGATGAAACAGCTTTTTCCTTTCAGACACTCTTTAAATGCGAGTAAAATTCATTTTTATTCATTATTCTCTTTTTATTCATTTTTAAGCGAGTGAAAGCCAGTTATTTTTATACCATGACGCGTTAAAACGTTTATTGGAACCTATAAAATATAATAATAGGAAAACATATTTGTGCATAACTGTGTAAAATCAATGCATAATGCTTTGTGAGAATGGATTCACGTTAACAGATGCAATAATAATCAGTAACACATTTAAATAAAGTGAATTTCATCCATCATAAGAAATGCATGAGTGAGATCATACTTTTCTAAATAAACTCTTAGCAGGTTTAATGTTTAAATAAAACCACTTTACATAAAGTCAGCTTGATGTATTGGCAGCTATATATCAAAGCGGTGAGCCCTTAGCCTTTCAGGGTCAAGTGCGAGCTATAAACTGACATGCTGGGATCAAACTTATCCAAACACTGCAGGGCCTGTCATGACATTTAACAAATGAAATAAACACAGTCTCAAAGGGGATCCAGCATCATTTGTTTGGCCCCCTCCCTCTCTCTCTGTGAAGTCTGAGGACGGAAAATATGACTCCAACGTGGAAGCATGAAGGTGAAGAGCAGAGCGTGTTGTCAAACATGTCCTGTCTGTCCTCCACGCTGAGTTATGGGACAAGGTGCTTTAATAAGACAATATGAGGGACTGGAAATGTCCAGTTCTCTGTCTTGCGGTGTCTCCCTCCCTCGCTGTAAACGACTCGGCGATGAGATGACGGATGGCGGTGTATCAGAGAAAGAGATTTTCCCTCACTAAAGACCCTGACCCCGACTCCCCTCTATGTCCACCTCCTCATTTTTTTCTCTCATTGATCACGTGGCTCATCTCTTTGTTTTGTGGCGCTACTCCCCCTGCACATTTTGTTTTTTCTCACACTTCCTCACTCTCCCTCCTGACCTTTCTATTATTTTGTATATTTGGAAAAAAGTGAAGTAATGCAGGGTTGACTGAGGTTCAGCTGGAGTAACCTTGACCACTGTGACTATTCATTAGCATGTCTCTCTCCCTTAGGGGGACAAAGCTAATGGAAATACTGAAAAGACCCCTCTCCCCAGGCAATAGCACATGTTACTTTCTTGGGGTAAAGTGACACAGCCTCCTCCCTAACCCCTGTCTAACACTCGGCCCTCTGCCTTCACCCCGCCTTTACCTCTGCCTCACCTCTGTAGCTTTATTCCCGCTCCACAGGGGTCGTTATTCAAACAAACTGTCATCGTCTGCCTTAAAGGAGAACACTGCGGTTGGAGAGGTTCCCCTGTTCTGCTTATCTGTTACGTGATGACATCAGAGGCACAAATTAATCTATGTGTCTCCTCACGGTTCTATCCAACCAAACTATTTTACCATTCACAATTTGTGTAGTGTTTATCGTCATATCAAGAAGAAACAAGTGTATTTTCTTTTATTGTATTGTTTTAGGATTTGTTTATACTTTTCATTTCATTATTCCAGCAATAACTTTTTATTTTTAGAACTCAAAATTACAAATATTGTCTCTGAAGGTTTTAGAGTCTGCACAAAATATGACCTCTTCCACCCTTTGACTCCCAATTAGGAGAAAGACAAAAGGGACATTGTGGTTTAAAACAATACTTTTAAAAAAAAGAAGTTTTTAGTCTTTTTTTATGCATATTTAGAGAACTTATACTTTGAGGAAATTCCCTTTTTAAGTTGTTTTAAAAAAAACTTTTAATTATTTTCCTTGTGAATTAATCAACAAATATTCCTTTAGATTAATCGAGTCACAAACAAGATAGTTAATTAAAAAAAATGACTATCACTACTACTTAAAGTGTGCTTTTATATGCTGATGTAAAAGCAACATAAATATGAATATGTAAAGACAATCTGCTGTGCTGTCTTTATTTTAAACCTACATGTGGTACAAAATACACACAACATGTACAGCACAGCCTCACATACCACACATACAAACATGACAGTGCATGTCTGTGTGCTGTCCTCCATCCCTTCACACTGTGATCCTCACTGGCCCTCTCTGTGTAGCCCACATTAGCTCCTGATCCCGGCTCAGTACAAGCAGAGCTTTGTGTGCGTCAGCTCTCCTCTCCTCTCCACACTCACAGCACGTCCAGGAGGATCTTCCATAAATCAGCCCCGCAGACGGAGGAGCGTGGCCCTGGCTTTAGAAGCAGAGTCACTCGTCTCCGAGCTACCAGACATTCATCATGAACGCAGTCCAGCGCCGTCCCACTGCACAGAGATGCTCTCACAGCTGCCATTGTTTCCAAGAGGAATGGACTGTGCCTGAGACTTTTATTGAAAAAGGATCCTTCTGGACAGTAAATTGAATCAAGAGAAAAATGGCAACAAGTGTGAATACTAGGCCCCACGACAAGCTGTGGCCTCGTCTCCCATTACGATGCACCTAATTTAACACAATATCACCTTTCCTGTCAGATAGGCCCCCGTCGGTTATTTATGCCTGAAGGGACAAACACAGCCAGTACTCTTGAGTATAAAACTGTACTTTTTACACATGCTTTTGAGGGGCCACTGTTGAACACTTCCTTACTGAGTATATTAGTTTGGAAGCAAGGACTTAAAGACACTAATCATGATCAATACCAATCTTTGTGAGAATCTCCAGAGAAGACAATGGGTTTTTTTATGTTCCAAACAGCATGTCCAGTAGCCCACCCTGATTGTAAATGCATTGCATCTCTTGTGTCCTCTCTTTAGTTGTCCAAGGAGTTGGAAGGGAAATCAGCCAATGGAGAAATCAAAGAGCTTCTCCAACTGCTGGCCAAACCCCACGTGAAGGTGAGTCTATATTCATTTAATACAAATGTAAAGCTGCAAGCACAGTATGAAAATATCAGGCAGTTCTGGCTTCAGCACACTACATATTTGGCTCGTATTCTAGCTGATGTCATCACACAAACATCTTGCATCACTGTTTGTTCAAGCGATGCAATTATCATGCCGTACACAAAATAACATGGCGTATAGATCCAGATTTTCTTGCTTTTTTCGGCTGCGTCCGCTTGCCTCGTTATCCAGACACAGACAGCTTCAAGAATGAATTTCCACACTCTGATTTTCTAATGTATTACTGGCCATCCATCAGGCCCTGCAGGTGTCTCAGCCAGACAGAGCTGCATTCGAGACGGGCGGATTAAGAAGGAGAACTGGACGGCGTTCCTTCTTTAACGCTCTGTCGTCATGCTTGTTTGGGCTCTGCCAGAAACAACAGCTCCGTATGAAGTCCTGTCCCGACACAATACACACATATTAACAGCGCAGTGCATGCAAATATTCAATCCCTCTCACTGTCAAGGGTTGTGGAAAGACAGTGGTTCCCCAAAAGGATCAGGGTTACAAGTGTAATCAACATGTGGTTTTTTTCAATGTCTACGCTTGTGATGTAATGATTAATTTCTTAAATGAAAACAATATAGTTGCATACATTTTTGGAAAGATTGACCCATACAGTAGTAAGGAATGGGAATTGAGTTAATCACACTTAACCAGCAGTCAACACACACAATCCCACTCTGTGTTGGAATACACACAGCCAGAATCCGGAAGACAAACGTTCCCAATCTATCACAGCTCTGCTCTCCCACTTTGTTACATTGGGACAGCTTGACCTCCTTTGTCTCTGTCAGCCCCGGAGTGAAATGTGCCGGCAAATGATCACAGCACCCGCCATGAAGCATGCCTGTGTCAGAGATCCCGCGTTTATTATTTTAATTGCATTTAAGTCGAAGGTATTTGACGATGCAACGGTCAATCCATCAAAACTCGTGGCTTTCGGAGCTTGTGAAAGTCATCGTTCAGGAAGCTCGACAACTTCCACTGATGAAGCGAGGAGAGGTGAAGCCAGGAGTAAGGGACGGCAAGCCAGGTGCACACTCATGCAGACACACAGGCCAACGCAATGTCTTTAAAAACTTTTAGCCAGAGGCCAACAAGGCTTATATTATATTAAATTAGATGTTCCTATGATTACAAGGATAATACCAAACGTCACTCTTTTACATCATACTTTTTATTTACGTTTTTGAATTACGTATTGAATATGTCACCCTAATTTAGTGGGAATTCTGATACAGCGTTCCAACTATCTGTTATGCTATGCATAAAAATCTTTATTATTCCGCCGGGTTATTTTGTACCTCTTCTTCTCCCACATTCCACATCGCAGAAACTCCGTTTGAACATCAAAACGTTCAGCTCGGTCGGGAATTGATGGCTATTACTTTTCTTATTCATAACTTTCATAATTCCAGAAATTCATCACATTTTTAACATGGAAGTCAATGGAGAAACTCTTCAGACTTGAACAATTTTCATGCAACTTCAACTGCTAACTGCTCCTTCATACTTTCACTCAGAAACCTCATTCCAACTTTAAAATGTTACACATCTTTCCCACATTATTCGTGTTACACAACTTTTAAATCTGATTCGTACTTTTAGAGATATTAAACATTGTTCAGACCCTGGTAAAGAGGCCTTCTTCAGATTTTAGAGTGTGTGATGTCACAGCTAGAGTGGAGGACAGATTTCATTTTGACTTCATATTTTCTTTTAAACCTGCCATAATTCCCAAACCCTACATTCCTGAGACATAATTGTTCATGAGAAATGCAGGAAAACATCTCGTAGNTTGAGAGTTTGTTTCTGTAGTTTTACAAAAACTTTACAGATTTGACATATTAGGCACTGGTTTTAAATATGCAAAGGCCTCTAACTTCGTTGTGATGGCAGCATTTATTTGCTGTGTCCCCATTTCCCATGGTAATATGGCTAATGTGTTTATTTATTATTTGTGGGGCAATTTAAATTTGTGTTATTTATCTTTTTTTTCAAGATTTAAATGAAGCTCAGCGCAAGTTCTTTCAGGGAGACTGGGGGTATACATTCACTCCGCAGCTGCATATAATCAGCTCATCACAGGCGTTCTCTTTAACCTATTACATTTCACCTCATTCTCCAGCAGCCAATCAACGTGCTGCAGCCAAACTATAAAATGGTTCTCCTCTCTCCTGCAGTCAGCTGTGATTTCAGGTGTTCATGCACCTTATCATATGGCATGTGTCAATAAATGTTCAAACAAAATGAATTCTCTCCTGATTGAAACATCATGTGTTGAAATAAACAACTGCAGTTCAAATTAAAAAGTGAATTGCCTAATATGTTTGTTGTGGAATCAATTAATTAATTTCTTTAAAGGCAAAAAAGTGAAAAAGCTAAGAAAAAAAAAATTAAATACAATATATTTGGAGCAACTTCATTTATAAATTGTTGTCAACTTAAAAACGTGTGTTCACAATGATGGTAATTAAGTACATACAACTTAAAATTCCTTTTAAATAACGTGGTAAAACTAGTCGGTACAACTTAATCTTTTGAGTAATCAACTTCAAAACTTGTGTTTATGCCACCAATTATTAAGTAAGTGGTCATTAAAAGCACCTGATTGTAGAGGAAAAGCCTTCTCCCCTAACTCAAATAACTTTGTTGCTTTAAGACAATTTCATTAGAAGTTGTCTTAACTCAATAAACATTGATGCAAACTGTTGCGTTGATTTTCTTTGTTGAGCCAAGGCATTTGTTTTTAGAGTGTAGTTATCAGGTAAACCTGGCACAACCTCTACAATTGGATGGTTCGTGGCAGGTCGCCATGACAGAAATGTCATACCCACATACCTGGTATAACATACCTTTAGAAGTGGCCTATTTTGAATGGATAAAGAAATCAAAATCCCCCGAGATAGTGAGCAAGGTAAAGCTTCAAATGTTTCGAGGGGGTTACTATAGTACCATAAATCAGCTCAAGGCGGAACTGGAGTCCTGCTTCAGAACAATTGACTCTGATGTTATTTTGTACTATAGTCCAATTCACAGGAAAATTGAATTTCAGGGAGGTGGACAACATCGTTTTCGCTTTCCAAAGCCCCTCGCTTACACTCTAAGAAATGAAATATGGATGTTGTTTGCATTAATTGCTTTTTTCATATTGAAACTACTAATTAAATGCACTTTTTACAATTAAATCAAGAGACTTTAATTGCATTTATGTAAAGGTTCAACATTTTGGGATTACATTACCATGTTGTGTTGTATTTAAATGGTAAAGTGAAATGGTTTAATTTGGCATATTACTCTCAATGAATATAAGAAAGCACTGCGTAAAGCGAGAGCAGCCTACTACTCTTCATTAATAGATGAGAATAAGAATAATGTAATATTTCTTTTCAGCACTGTAGCCAGGCTGACAGAGAGCCACAGCTCGACTGAGCCTTCTATTCCCATAGCACTCAGTAGTAATGATTTTATGTGCTTTTTTAACGATAAAATTGTTACTCTTAGAAACAAAATCAATGACCTCTTGCCTTTGACCAGTATAGTGTTATCAACAGCTCCCGGAAACGTAAGTTCTAATATTACACTAGATAGTAAACTAGAATGCTTTTCAGCCATAAACCTTGAACAATTAATATTAGAACTTACGTTTCCGGGAGCTGTTGATAACACTATACTGGTCANCTCTGTTCCCCATCGTGCCCATTTGTCGCAGGGAAATTAGTGATCGGGCAGAGGTGGTCGACCAATCAAAAGAGGCACGTCAGATTTTTTTATTGGTGACGTGACAAGTACGCCCTCCGTCTAAATTGAGACGGTATAGGGTGGTGTCCGGGGTGTCGGTCTGGTGTGAGGAGGTGGCTGTGTGGCTGTCCACCTCTCTCGAACTACGCACAACCGCTCAGTCGAAGAGATTTGGTCGCGTCGACGTGCCTTGCGGTACGGCCCGCCGAACTGACGTCGACGTCGGCGATCTGTTTGTTAATCTGTTTGTTAAGTGGTCACGTTGGTTTGTTGTGGTGGTTTTTTGGGTTTCAGCCCTTTACTACGTGTTTCTGTAGTGATAAAGTAAATAACAAAACCACAACACTAAATTAATTAAATAATATTAAGTAAATAATTATAGTTAAATATATAAAATTATAATAAAGTGTAAAGTAAACGGTTACAACTTACAAGTTATGTTTCAATACAAACTTTCCTCACATGGACACTCAACTAATATATATATTAGTAATACAGGTCACCAGATTTTACCAGAATGTTATAATAGCAAATAGCGTTATTAAAGGTCCTTTGACATAGCAGGTTTGTTTTACATTAAATCGCACTGTCCGGATTTGGACACGATAATTTTTGGTTACGTAATGGATGACCAACATAGTGGTAATTGTAGACACACAAAAGGAGGTGTCCACCCTGATACTCTCACTCCTATCTCCTCGTTTCCACTCCTCCTATTTCTCCTGCGTCCTGCTCCTCGTCCTCCTCCTCGTCCTCCTCCCCTCCTCCTCCTCCGTCCTCCACTCAGCCGTCCTCAGGTCGGGCTTAGACCATCTCACTGTATCTCTCTCCTTTTTTTTTATAGTTTGTTTAACTTCTCCTTCTTCTCCTGGGGAACCTAAGACTACTCCTAATTGAGACAAGACGTAGGTTGGCCGGTAGCTCTCTATGTCGATGCTACGACTCTCGCTCGGACACCACCTCCACTCCAGGTAGCGTGTCGACTAAAGTCTTCTAAACTGTACCCACGAGAAATTCGTAACTCTACAAAATAATCAAACATCGGTTTCGCGTATATCTAACAAGAGACTTGAGTATGTTCAAACAATTGTAATGAAAAATAAAAATTCATTAAATAGATTTTCGTCACCAGTGGTTGGAAAAATTCGGGTTCTAGTGGCTGGAGCCGGATCCCCTTTCCGCCTCAGATGGAGAACGTCCTTAACTCACTTTTTCTGCCGGGTCTTCGAATTTTTATTACTGAAGGTTAAACTCCCGTCAGAAATTACGAATTATACTTGATACATTAAAAGCTTAGGAAAAAACTAGTACCGTATTTTCCGGACTATAAGTCGCACTTTTTTTCCTAGTTTGGCTGGTCCTGCGACTTATAGTCAGGAGCGACGTATATATGTTTTAAATGTCAATTCATGCTGACTGACATGAACCGTCTACAGCCACCAGAGGGCGCTCTAGGCTTGTGACAACTATATGCTGCTCCTGTACCACTGAAAAAAACGAAGAAGAGAGCGGACGGTTCTTCCGGGTTAGCTGCTTGTTAGCCATCTGTTGTTAGCCGTCTTGTTAGCTTGTTAGCCGTCTGTTGTTAGCCCGCC